GGGGTGGATTGCCTGAGCTCAGGAGTTTGAGACCACCCTGGACAACACAGTGAAACCCCTCTCTACTAAAATACAAAAAAAGTACCTGGGTGTGGTGGCAGGTGCCTGTAGTCCCAGCTACTTGAGAGGCTGAGGCAGAACAATTGCAAGAACCCAGGCGGGGGAGGTTGCAGTGAGCCGAGATTGCGCCACTGCACTGCAGCCTGGGTGACAGAGCGAGACCCCATTTCAAAAAAAAAAAGATAAACTAAAAATACAAAAAATTAGCTGGGCATGGTGGCACATGCCTGTAATCCCAGCTACTCAGGAGGCTGAGGCAGGAGAATTGCCTGAATGCAGGAGATGGAGGTTGTGATGAGCCGAGATCGTGCCATTGCACTCCAGCCTGGGTAATGAGCGAAACTCCATCAAAAAAAAAAAAAAAAAAAGAAAAAAGAACATGCCATGTTTGGTTTTCTGTTCCCACGTGGTTTGCTGAGGATAACGGCTTCCACCTCCATCCACGTCCCTGCAAAGGACATACTGGTTGTTCATTTTCCTGGCTGCATAGTATTCCATGGTGTCTACGTACCACAGGTTCTTTATGCAGTCTAGCACTGATGGACATTTGGGTGGATTCTCTGCCTTTGCTGTTGTGAACTTTGTCACTGTCCTTGCAACCTGCTACATATCCAGCAGCTGTTCACACAGGAGTAGCTGGCATAGGGTTTCCAGTCACGGCGGGTGCACCTGAGTTCAAGTTGCATCTGGAAGAGAACAGAAAGAGAACTTGTTTCTTGACGTCAGGGGCAGAGGGACTGGCCATCTATGAGTCTGTGATGAACACACCATGAAAAGATGAAGAGGGGCTGGCCGAGGTGGCTCACACCTGTCATCCGAGCACTTTCGGAGGCCGAGGTGGGCGGATCACCAGAGGGCAGGAGTTCGAGACCAGCCTGGCCAACATGAATAAACCCCATCTCTGCTAAAAATACAAAAATCAGCCAGGCATAGTGGTGGGGGCCTGTAGTCCCAGCTACTTGGGAGGCTGAGGCAGGAGAATCGCTTGAACCGAAGGCGGAGGTTGCAGTGAGCTGAGATCATACCATTGCACTCTAGCCTGGGTGACAGAGCAAACCTCCATCTCAAAAAAAAAAAAAAAAGGGAAAAGATGTAAAGGATGGGAGAAAGGAGGGTGAGGGAGACAGTCCAGGTGATTGAGAGCCATCACATCTGTTTGCAATTAGACTTTGGGGGTGGTCTGGGGAGGGCTGGGATGGATTTTTAGTACAACAGAGCAGTCATGGAGACCAAGTGGGGGAGGGAGTGCACGTGGCCCATCCATCCTCTGACGGAGCTCCGCCTCACCAGTCCTGTGTGTTTTTGTGTGCGTGTGTGTGTGTGTGTGTGCATTCATGCCTTGGCTTGTGTGTATGTGTGTGTGTGTTCATCAGGGTGTTAGGGTCCTCATAAAAAGTTAATTAGAGTCGTAACCCCCGAGTAAGCAGTAAGTTCACTGCAGATGATCAAGGTACGTAAAGGTCACTGGGGTGGACCCTGCTTCCACATGACTAGTGCCCTTGAAGAAGGGGATATTGGCCAAGTGCGGTGGCTCATGCCTTTAATTCCAGCACTTTGGAAGGCTCCTGTGGTTTGGCTCTGTGTCCCCACCCAAATCTCAGCTGAAATTCATCTCCACATGTCCAGGGAAGGACCTGGGAGGTGGAGGTTGTGAGGAGCTGAGATCGTGCCACTGTACTCCAGCCTGAGCAACAGAGTGAGACTCCGTCTCAAAAAAAAAAAAATTAATAAAAAAAATCTAGTGAAAATACCAGTAGGACACACCAGTCTGGCATTAAATAACCAACGATTGCCTCTTGAAAGTTACACGTCTGTTAATTGTCAGTCGTTACTGCGTTACACAGAACTCTCTTGTCAAATTAATATGAAATATCTTGTTTGTTTATGCAGATTTATAAGATGTGTTTGGAAGCTATGTTGACTGAGAAATGGGTTAATTATAAAAGGATAGTAATTTATGTCCACTTAGATTTAGAAAATACACAAAGCCACGGAGAAGGACATTAAAATTCTTCTTCTGTCTTCTCTCTGCAAAAGTTTCTGCCATCATCTTAAAATATTGCCCCTTTCTCTGGGATTCCAATTATGTATGAGACGAGATTATTTGATACTGTTCACAACTCCTGGAAGCTCTATTTTTATGGTTTCACTCTTATTTATTTATTTTGAGACAGGGTCTTCTGTCCCCCAGGCTTGAGTGCAGTGGTACAATCATAGCTACTGCAGCCTTGAACTCCTGGGCTCAAGTGATCCTCCCACCTCTGCCTCCTGAGTAGTGGCAGATTCAGTGTCTGCTGGGGACCTGCTTCCTGGTTGGTTGATGGAGGCTTCTTGCTGTGTCCTGTCATGGTGGAAGGGGTGAGGGAGCTCTCTTGGGTCCCGTTCATAAGGGCACTAATTCCCAGCTAGAGGCTCCACCCTCCTGACCTCATCACCTCCCAAAGCCCCACCTCCCAACACCATCACCTTGGGTTTAAAAAATATAATTTTATATATTTTACAAAATTTTATAATTTGATATATTTGTAAATATAATATATATATAATTTTATATATTTTATAAAGTTTATTAAATATATACATGTATTATGTAATGTAACATAATTATAATATATACATGTATATATATTATAATTATACATGTAATATATAACTCATATATCAAATATTCTATATTAAAAGTTTATGAATATATTTTAAATTTATAGAATTCAAAATTTATAAAATTATGAAATTTATATATTTCACTTATATATTTTAAATTATATAAATATATAAAATTTTCAATATATATTTTTATATGATACATATATAAATTTATATAATTTAAATTTATAAGTATATAAATATATAAATTTACATATTTAAAATGTATAAATATATTTTAAATTTATGTATTTATAAAATATATAATGTCTAAAACTTTTATATATATATAAAAGAAATATGTGGGTTTTTTTTGCTTAGAGTGCTGTGCACAGATTTTCCGGGTAACATGTATGCTGTGAAATGAGGATGTTTCAGAACCTGTGTTCTGGTCCATCATGTGTTAACTGTGAAGTTTACCTCCTTGCCTTGCTTTGAGATGACAGATGAGGACTAACCATGTGCTCAAGAACACAAGGTCAGGTGTTCGAGACCAGCCTGGCCAACATGGCGAAACCCCATTTCTACTAAAAATACAAAAAAAAAAATTAGCTGGGCTTGGTGACAGGCACCTGTAATCCCAGCTGCTCAGAAGGCTGAGGCAGGAGAATTGCTTCACCCCAGGAGGTAGAGGTTGCAGTGAGCCGAGATCGTGCCACTGCACTCCAGCCTGGGTGGCAAGAGCGAGACTCCATCTCAAAAAAACCCAAAGAAAGAAAAAACCAAAACAGATCAAGCTGTTGCCTGTTTTTTCTGCCTTTTGTTTCTGACACTCAGAGCTGTGACATGTTTCATCCATGTAAAGATGAAAGCATGCAGTGGTCCTCACGTTACACAGACGGCCTTTCCTGATTCATACAACACATCCCAAACATGTTCCCCCACCTTTTAACAAGGGACAAATGGAGGCTGAGTGGGTGAGGGGTGAAAGCATCGTTTGAATCATGAACCGAGGGAAGTGAGTGTCATGGTTGCCACATTGTGGGACCCCCCTCTGCCCTCCTATCTCTTGGATAACAGAGTCCTCAAGGTCTTGTATCTGTACAAAGAAGGTTGAGTTTGATCTAATGTTTCTGCCTGCAGTGGAAAGATTTGTAGAAACCTCAGCAGCCATAAATACATCAGAACAGAACAGCCTTTTTATTAATGTAGAACGTCTTCCCAGGAAGTAAACTCAGGGGAAGGCAGCAGTTCCTTCTAGCAGAATCAATTCCAAGTGTGTCCAAGTGCTACGGATATTCCGAAGGACCATGGCTTTGTGGTTCTATGTAGATTCGTGCAGTCTGAGCCTTGTGTGTGCTTTTTCTGATGGACTGGAAACCAGCGACATGAAAGGCATGATCGGGGTGGGAGACTCGGCAAGGTCTCTGGGGAGGCGTCTCTGTTCCAGCATCATCCTTTGCCAACTTTGTGGGGTTATGTCTTCATTTCATTAGCAAGCGTGGTGTGCTCACGGGCGTCATCTCAGCAAACACCAACGATACCTCTGCTTATTGGAAACATTTTATAGCAAGTGGATCAACTCAGGTCTCTGGCTAGGAGATGAAAATTTTCACATGAGCTTCAGCCACTCTGGGCCGCCCCACGATACCTCACGGCGTGGAGGTAGGAAAGATTTTTCCTCCATGCCCCTACTGAGGCTGGTACAATGAGTCATCTTGGGTTCACCTGGCAGTCTACCTCGTATCTTGAGGGCAGATCCCTAGAAGTGATTTTGCTAGATCAAAGGATGCATACATGTGTCACTGTGACAGATATTAGTCAACTTACTCCCGTAGGGATTTTGCCATTTTGCCTTCCCACTCAATCTTCACAGACTTATTAGAGAAACTTGATGTCAATGCTTTGGAATTTTTCTCAATCTAATAAGAGATAATGCTTCATACCATTTGACCCAGCAATCCCATGACTGGGTGTATACCCAAAGGATTATAAATCATTTTACTATAAAGATACATGCACACGTATGTTTATTGCAGCACTATTTGCAGTAGCAAAGACTTGGAACCAACCCACATGCCCATCGATGATAGACTGGATAAAGAAAATGTGGCACATAGGTGCCATGGAATACTATGCAGCCGTAACAAAGGATGAGTTCATGTTCTTTGTAGTGACATGGATGGAAGCCATCATTCTCAGCAAACTAACACAAGAACAGAAAACCAAACACCACA